GTAATGAGATCTGGTTACCTCTTCTGGCCTGAAGGGATACATGCAGGAAGAACCCTGTATACATAATTAATAAATAAGTTTTTAAAATTAAAAAAAAAGATCAACGTAAAAGTTTGGTCTGGATATAAAGCTCATCAGAGTGCTTGCCCTGCGTATATGAGACACCCGGGGTTCAGCAGCAACAACAACAAAAAATTAACTTTTTGAGCTGGATATGGTGATACATGTATACAATCTCAACAGTTAAGAGATAGAAAATACTAAGTAACAAAAGGGCAGTCTCAAGAAACAATTCAAAAGTAAAATAAAGGGCTGGAGAGATGGCTCAGCGGTTAAGAGCATTGCCTGCTCTTCTGAAGGTCCTGAGTTCAATTCCCAGCAACCACATGGTGGCTCACAGTCATCTGTAATGAGATCTGGTGCCCTCTTCTGGCCTGCAGGCATACACACAGACATAACATTGTATGCATAATAAATAAATGAATAAATAAATAAATAAATATTTAAAAAAAAAGTAAAATAAAAACATCAGTAAGGGTCTGGAGAGATGGCTCAGCGGTTAAGAGCACTTGACTTGTTCTTCCAAAGGTCCTGAGTTCAATTCCCAGCAACCACGTGGTGGCTCATAACCATTCATAATGAAATCTGGTGTCCCCTTCTGGCCTGCAAGTGTACATGCAGACAGAAGACTGTACATTATAAATGAATAAATCTTTTAAAAAATAAGTAACAATAATAGCTACTATATTAAATGGAAACTATGTGTCTATGTACTTTGTCCTTATTTAATTCATGTATCAACCCAACAATAAGTATTAATACCCTCTTCAATGTGTACAAATAGTCCTCACTCTATTACTTTCTGTAATTATTACAAAAAAAACAAAGAGCAGAGCTATATTTGTCTGAATAATGGCAAACAAACAACATATATCTCCCACTTCAAAAAATCCTTAATTCATTTTTAGCTATTAATAACACTTAATGTGGCACTGGGTCCCAAAAATTCACTAGGAAGAAATCCCGTAGTCCTTTTTCTTTCTTTTTCTTTTTCCTTTCTTTTGGTTTTTCGAGACAGGGTTTCTCTGTGTAACAGTCTTGACTGTCCTGGGCCTCGAACTCACTGAGATCTGTCTGCCTCTGCCTTCCAAGTGCTGGGATTAAAGGTGTGTGTCACCATGCCTGGCTGAACTTAATATTCTAAATGTGGATTTGTGTTAAATACACCTTTATGTATTACATATGAGCCATTTCATAATTTAAAAAGATATGGCCAGGTTGGTGAATCAGAATTCTAGGAAATAACTTGTTCTCTGTCACTCATCGCCCTAAACAAAGCATTTTATTACTGTTAACAGCACAGCTGCTATCTGCTAGATTATGACGCTCACCGCTCTGTTTTTGATATTTTTATGAACTGCTTAAAGTAACTAAACTATAAACATACAAACTGTAGATAAATCATGATTTCAAAATAATATAACTTATTTATAACTAATAACTTCTTTCTAAACAAAAGAATGTCATAACACTAAGAAGTAAGCAGCGGCAGGTGAACATTCACTGTTCCAGTTTCTGCCCATCTCTCCAAGATAATGAAAACTAATATTGTTTTAACATGCACTACATAACACACTGTGTTAAATGCTTTCTTATTCTATTTAACCCACAAAACAAACAAATGAGGTTAATTTTATTTCCTCACTTTACAGATAATCTCGTTGTGCCCAAGGTCACACCCAGCAGCGGTGAGCTTCAGAATCCACACGTCAGCCACCACATTCATTTTGCCTCACTTCTAAACTGAAAGCAGTCTGTCCTTCCCTGACGACGGAAGCTCCCTGACAACCGCTCTTAGCTCATCTCTGTCTCCCCCCCCCCCCCCCCCCCCCCCCCCCCCCCCCCCCCCGCACTGAGCAGCATCATATAAATAGTGGATCATATAAATACATTTATATATACACAAGGTATTTAAGACATGAACTCGTCTGTCTCCCTTGACAGCCTTTGTGAAGTATGAATGTTTTGTTTTGCCATTTTACCACAGTTAAACACACAATTCAAGATTTTCAATGTATTCACAGTATTGTGCAATAATTACCACTAAGTATAAAAAGGGTTTTATGACTTTACTGAAATCAGTCCCCTTTCAAAGACTGAAATCAAAACTGGGATTTGAAGTGAAAACCCTTGACTCCTAAATCCATGGGCTCTTCATTTTTGCCAGACTCCTGTCTACCTATCCCTCCACCTGTTCCCTACTCTCCCCTTGTCTGCCTCACACTGCACAGGTAACCATGGCTATAGGGAAAATCAATCCACCAACACAATTCTCCCAGGTGACTGCTTTTCATTCTGAGCTTTAACATGAATGGCCAGTCTGTCAGCAAATTCACAAAAGCAATGTCTGGACCCCAGAATAAAATTATGAGGAGAAATGCCCTCACTGGTTAGATTACATTCTTACTGCTTAAGCTTGGGTTTTTTGTTTTTGTTTTGTTGTTGCTGTTGTTTTATTAGGACACAGAAAGCATCCAAAAAAACAAAAACAAGAATAAACAACAAAAACCCCCAGAATTCCAAGGATGTCTACCCCTCCATCACTCCACCCATGAGGGGAGGCAAATTTTGCCTCTATATGGGCATTTTATGTGTTCAATTATGAAACCCAAGGAAAACGGGTTTTTTTTGTAGATAAAAATTTTTTAACAACAAAAAAAAATTTGTATTGGTATCAATTTTATCTTCTTTTCACTTCTCCTCATTTTTTCTCTAATCAACAACCACTTCAAGTTTAACGTATCATAGTTAGCGCACATAATCCAGAAAGCTGTTTCCCTAAAGATGTCCCCACCTTCCATCATCAGCATTCTACCACAAGAATAAACTTGTCTCAAGTTTTAAATCAAATTTCTGATTAAATAGATGGAGTTATTGTTTTTGTAGTTACTACAACATGCCTACATCAACATCATCCCCTTAAAAATAAAATATGGCTGTATATACTTCATTTATCCACACCTGACAGAATTCTGATTAGTTGAATTCCTTTAGAAGAAAATTCAATCTACAGAAACAATCCAATTATTTTAAATCTTATCAAGTAATGTCAAAAGAGAATCAAATGAACAACCCCATCAGTACCAAATGAATATTTATTACATTTCTCTATTTCCTGTCTTCTCTGTGTTTACATAAAGTGGTAATGCCAAGACTCATCTCAGGATTATTAGTCTGCAGTACAATGATGGGCCTAATTGCCTGGCAAACAAGGACACCAATAAATGGAGTCATCAAGCAATCAATTTTATTGGGGGAAAGAGGGGCTTGCTAACTTCTTTCTACATACGTGCACCTTGTCTGCCTAGAAAATAAATTCAGTTTTCCTATCTTTCAATATCATTAACCGGTTCTCAGGCAAGAATGCACCCTCAACAGCCTCAAGTTCATCAGTCCGTCTAAGTGACAAGTCCCAGAACCAGCTTTCAGTGTACCGGGGGAGAGGGCAGGCACAATTTCACCTTCGCCGCCTTTACTCTGAGAGTGGCTTCCCCCAGCCCCCAAGTTTCTCTTTATGACATAGAAATGGAAAGACAACCCCCTCCATTAATTCTACCTTAAATGAAGGTTCTTTCAAAACCTTACCCTTGGGCTGTTATTTCCAGACAATACCAACATAGACCCAACAAAAAGGTCAAACTGACAGCATAAGATCCCCCAGGAGACCTTCTAATGACCTTAGTATTATTGTCTCTCACCAAAGCAACCACGCTCTTTACCACGTTAAGTGTTCTAGCTCCTACACCTCTGGTGTCTTAGAGGACATCCTTTCCGACATAAGCCAGTCCACTCCTTCCCAGCACTGCTCACCGCCCCTCTGCATCCTCTCTGTCCCTACGGTTCCCACAATACTGGCTCTCCCACGTCTTAAATTCACCCTCTGCCACCACACCGCAGGTAACCAGCTCATCAGACTGGAAATCCTGCAAAACTGGCAGAGACATTCTCTTTAAGACACCATCACCTAAGCTTGCTCACCCCCTTCCAGTATTCTTTCAGGGAGTCCAGCTGAGTAGGTAGTCTTACATACCCTCTGCCTCCAACTCATGCCCAGGGGAGCCACCTTGCTTCCTCCAGTGACTCTAAACTCACCCTAAATCCTTTTCTACTGTGAGCTCATCCCCAATTTCAATCCCTGCCTTCCTGTTTGGGGCCCAACGTACAATTTTCCCGTCAGTTTACCATCCGTCTCCTGTAGTTGGAAGTCTCGCCCCTCCCAGCCCATATTCCAACCTCCAGCAGCCGACCCCCAGAAAACCCCAAATTCTACCGCTTCTGTTCTCTCCAAACTCAAGCTATTTCCTTAAGTATCCACAAATTCTACCATTCCCGGAAGCCCACCTCAAGCTTAAGTCTCAACCCATGGCAAACCCTTCATCCCCAGCTGCTACCATCTCCATCAGCCTTCCCCAGGTCTACCCCAAATGCCACCTTCCAAAATTAGCACTCCGCGGAGTCCTAGCCAACATTTATATCCCACTCCGCTTTGAAAAGATCTCCTTAGCCCCCACCCCAGCTCTGACCCCGAGCTGTCAACTGCTTCAGGCCAACCCCAAATCATCACCTTCATTCAGTCCCCTCCCCCATGAAGAGACACCCCTCCCCTCCAGTCTCACCTTCCACCTCACCCAAAGACAATCCCAAATTCCACCTCGGTACCCCACACACACCATGCTCCCGTCCCAGGTCCGGGAACCCCTTCTCCATGTAAAGTCGCCCCCCTCCCCTGCTACCCTCCCTTGACCTGCTGGGGTCCCACCCTCACCCAACCCCCAGCCCGCGCTCGGACAAGTCTCCCCACCAGCCCGCCGTTCCATCGCCACTTCAGTCCCCTCCCCCCAAGGCCAGCGTGGGAGCCCCACGGCCCCCACCCTCATTCTCGCCGGCGCCACCAGCCCAAGCTCCACAGGAGCGGGCCAGGGGTGCGGGGGTCTCCTCACCGGCGAGCTGCGACAAGCGAAAACCGCGGCGGCGGCGGCGGCTGAGGCGGCGGTGCCCTTGTCTGCTTCGGAGGCTACCGCGGCGACGCTCTCGTTCCCTCGTCCGTGTCCAGTAGGGTGGTGGATGGCGCGCAGGGACGGGAGCCTCCTCCTCCTTCTCAGCTACTCGGCTCGGAATCCGCTGCAGTAGCCGCGGAGAAACCCGACGGTGGGGGAAGGGGACGCTCGGCTGCAGGCGAGAGAGGAGGAGGCTGAGGGAGGGGGCGGGGGACCGCTGAGAAGGGCGGGGGACACGTCCCACAGCCTCAGAGCTGCTGGACTACAACTCCCGGCATGCTCTGCCGCGGCCCTGCGCGGCCTGCATCTTCCAACCGCGCGGCGGCCCTGGGGCCGCACCCTCTTGGGACACAGACAATGGAATGAAGCTGACGGTCCACGGGAGACTTTTGTAAACTCAAAGAACGCTTGAGAGGGAAGTCGGATATTTCTGCAGCCTCATCTCCATGAAGCAAAGCTCTCTGTGTCTCCAACCTACACAAGCACTCGCTTCCGCCCGAGGGACTACACTTCCCAGCATGCCTCACACAGCTGCCCTGCCTCTCCTTCCGAACCCCTCTCAGACCCGGTACTACAGTTCCCAGGAGTGTAGTCCGTGCGAAATGCTGGGACGTGTAGTTCTCAGTCCTTCCTCCATGTTAAGAAAAAGAAGTGAAAGAGAGGAAAGGGGGAAGGACTATTACTAGCTTGGGCCTAGATGGCCTGCATCATCTGTAATTCTGTACTCTCCTCGCCATCCCCGTTGTCACTGTCTCTCCAGAACTGACACAGCAGACGCCTGACAGGCTTCCCTGCAAATTAGAGGACAATTCTGCAACTTAAATTCCCATGTAAAAAGGATATTTGTTTACATTTACATTACTTATAGGTATTTAATTTGCAAAAATGACCGAAAATGTTAGAAAAGAATGACCAAGGTTATGGAGAAGGTTATTGAATAGGAGATGGGAAAGATGTAGGTATCCATCAGTGTGGGCTGATTCAATAAACGGTGATGTATGCATACATGCAACGCAGTGCTAAGCAGCCGTTTAAAATCAGATAAATATCTTTAGACACTGAAGGCTCTTCACAGTTTGCTCTCAGAAGGGCAAATTGGTTACAAAAACAGCATGATTAGACAGGTTCAATTTATTTGAAGTTTGAGGATGTAAAATTATAACGGTTTCAGGAAAGAGATTCTCCAAAAGGATATCAGAGGTTATCTTTGGAAAAGGTTTGTTAGGTTTCAAGTTACTCTTATTTTATATTGCCCGAATTGTTTAAGGGAGTACACACCATTTTTTCAAAGCTGAAAGGCTATTAAAAAAAAATACTATCTCCAAATACAGCGACCTCTCTCTCCCACTTAGAAACTTTCCTTGGCTCCCCGTTTCCTGAACCGTACTTTAAGATGGCAAATCTCTCTGTACACTCAGTAGATGCAGTACTTAAAAATGGTGGTTTTCCTCAGTGTTAGTTACTTTTCTGTTGCTGAGACAAAACACCTGACAGTAGCAATTTAAGGAAGGGATGGAGGGATTTTTGTTTTGTTTGTTTATGGATTTGCTTTTTATTTCTATTTTTGCATGGGTAGGAGTGGTTTTATGTTAGGATTTCTCTGTGTAGCCTTGGTTCTCCTGGAACTCACTCTGTAGACCATGCTAGCCTTGAATTCACATAGATCCACCAGCCTCTGTGTACACCACCACAGCATGGATGGAAGGGTTTGACTTAGTTTCATCTCAGGAAAGATATGTGTCAGGTCCAAACGAACTCTGATAGCTATCTGTGGTGCCCATTAGCAATCTACAATACACCCCGGCCTCCGTGCTTGTTGCGAAGTTTATGCTGGCACCCTGACTCTTCTCACCCCACCCTTTCCTGCCTTGGGCTCCCCTCCTGCCAGCTTCTCATTCCCTTATGACCCTGCTATTTTGGTTAGTTACCTGCTCTCTTCCTCTCCCCATCTCTGCCTCCTTCATGGCCAAGTTCATCCTGGTCATGTCAGCCCATTATTTTGTCTCCCTGCTCTGGATTCTTCCAGATGCCTCTGACTCGACAATGAAACCCTCCTTGGAGCTGTCATGTTGTCATGCACGCAGATTGGCCGCAGGAACAGGTCATATCAGAGGGAGGTGCTTGTGCCCAGGAAGCACCTTCTTTTATTCCGTGGTACCGCCCACATTTAGGGTTAGTGTTCCTACTTCAGTTAACCTACGCTAGATAATCCCCAGACAGGCCTAGAGATTTGTTTTCCATAGTCATTCTAAATCCCCTCAAACTGGCAAATGAACCATCACAATTATAGTTTATTTTAAAAATTTAAAGTGAGTGAGGAACTCTCAGTTTCTTTTCTCAAATTCCCCCGTTTTAGGCTTTCTCCTCATACTCCACAGCGTCACATAGCTCATGTAATTATTCAACCACAGAGAAGGCTGCACTTCGGGTTCTAAAGGCAGGCATGTGCTGATGGGCCCTTGGGTTACATACACATATGACTCCACTAAAACCCTTGTGCGCATGCGTGAGTGGCCCATCTGCATCTTCTGCGTATGACGTAGTCACACCAACCCCCTGTGTACTTGTGTCATCCCCCCCCACCGATCCCCAGGCCTGTTTGCACCCCCTCTAATAAACTCCTAAGCAGGTTTGTTTGTGTCTCACTGGCGCCAGGTGATTTCATTGGTGCTAAGACTCTCTCCCACCCTGAGCCCCTCTCCCGTGGTCCTGTGATCTGGAACCAGGAAATTCTCCACAACAACCACTTGTTCCATATGCCTGAGCATGACTTCTCCGAACAACACCGGCTTCAATTGGTGAGTTTCCCTATTCTGGTCAGCTTAACCGTTTCTCCGAACCTGAGGAATTGAACGTTGAGCTCTGGCAACACTTTGGTGTTCCTAGAAACGGGGAGACTATCCCCAACCATGGTCTTCAAGACATTCATCTGTGGATGGCTTCCCTTAGTTAAAATTGTGACCCACGCTAGCACTGCACACTCTATGTGGTGCATTCGACTGGGGGCCCAGGGTCCCTCAGATTCTTCTTCCTCTTTTTTTCTATTTCTTTTCTTTTCTTTTTTTTCCCTTGCCATAAAAGGTCACTTGGGCCGGGCGATGATGGTACATGCCTTTAATCCCAGCACTCTGGAGGCAGAGGCAGGCGGATCTCTGTGAGTTCGAGACCAGCCTGGTCTACAGAGGTAGTTCAAGGACAGGCTCCTACAGAGGTAGTTCAAGGACAGGCTCCGAAGCCACAGAGAAACCCTGTCTCAAAACCAAAA